TTTTGCGTGTTTTTTTGTTTGTAAGAGAGGGGACACACGAACATGGCACAAAGCCAATATGCTCTAGTTCTAGCAAGAGCGAGTGCAGGGTATGTGCCGCATGTGCGATCGTGTAAACGCAAAAATATGCGCACAGCAATAAAAAGTTAACAATGAACAAACAAATGGAATATATGCATGGAAGTAAGCCCCGTGTAGGCACTGATAAAATGTTGTTGTTTTCACTTTGGCACTGAAACTTGTTTAATAATTCAAATATTAATACATACGCATACGCAACACACACACACACACACACAGAAACATGGCCGGGATGGGTGTAGTGGGGTATATAAATTTGCATACGCACGTTGCCATTTGAACGTCTTGTCAAATTTATGTAAAAACTCAACCTTTGTCTTCGAGGGCTCTGCGCAATTGGCTGTCACCTCCACGAGCACCTGTGTTTGATTATTTTTTTACGCTTGAAAGTCTTCCCATGATACTGACGCAGTCAATGTGAGCGCCTCCCGCAGAGCGGCAGCTTTGTTTAACTTCGTGTGAATGGATAACCAATTTAAGGCACTTCTCAGACGTCAAAGCTCCAATTCGCATCTGCCCGAATCTCTCTGTGGATGCTTATAATGGGCTGGCTTTGATCTTCCCCTAATTAGTGTCTCCTTTTACCATAAACACGACCAGGCTCTCGGGTGGAGGCACAACTCCGACAACAGCTCTGTACCTCTAGGTCCGGGTCTGCCCCCCAATTTGGCTAATGCGGGCACAGCGGAGTGTCCCCGTGTCTGTAGCTACGTAGTTCGCGTTTGCGTCATCAAATCTGCATCTCCAGATGAAAATAAGTTAACCTTGCAATGCTCGTCGTATTTCCGATGACGTCCATCGAGCACCGCCTGCTTAAGTCTCCTTCATTTGCTTCGTTTGCTAGTATATCCACTTACAAAGGCTGTGGTTGCCTCGTTTGAGATCCGGAATCCAGAAATAGCTCCAAGTGCGCTAAGCCCAAGTAGTGCACGAGCCAGCAATGGGGTGTATTAGCGCACGGTTGCCTAGCGCCAACCCGGGCTGGATGCGGGTATCCACAACAAGTTGCCTGTGGTTGAGTGGGTGAGCCCGCTTTGTGTACCGAAATAGAGCGAATCCCTTGAGAGCTTTTCGCACAGAAGCTAATACTTCACAAGGCCTCAAAGTGCGCAAACGAGAGTAAAGTTCGAGATTAAAGTTGTCTTGAAAATTATAGCACTAATTTGTTATACACCTTCAGAATGTGTTAAGGTTTTGTGCTATGTCCATATGGACGCAATTTTTCTATTTTCAATTTGTTCCGATTATAGAGCGACTCCCACTGGGGCGTGGCATATCATGGGACTCAAGGCTGTAGACCAGTTCGGGCCTGGAACTCAAATTTATTTTGGCCGACTTGCAAGCTCTTGGCTGGAAAGGATGCAGAGATGTTCAAAAGTTGATTAGGATAAGGATGTCAACATTCCGTATATGGAGAGAATTCCGAAACAACGAAAGTTGCCCAACAAGATTTCTCATAATAGGATTTTCATGCAATTCGCAGGACATCTGTAAACACACAGACTCCAACTGGCACGGGTGGAGTGGACTACGCAGACTACTCCAAAGATCGTTCCAAAAATGATTTGACAAATTGAAATAAGAAAAATCAATGTCTCTTAATTAATTCAGTGGGCAGCCTTAGCTGTAATTGGGCTGCGAACGATTATTGCGCAATCGCATGCACCTGACTGCAACATTCTTATTTAATTGGAGCATTTCTCATAGGAGGTACTGTAAAATTATGACCCGCAGCGCGCCTTAAAAATGTATCAAGTCGTACACGTAGGCATGAACACGCACATATGCAATATCTAAATCCATCTGAATATTTGCATTATAATCGATATTCTTTTTTTTGTTTTTTTTTTCTTTCTTCAGTCGATTATAAGCAATAAGATGACAAGCCACTTTTTTGCATTGCAATGGCTATTAATAAATAATGTTTGTCAACTGTTTTTGGACAGTAAACTGACACGAATTTGCAACCAGTTTTTTAGCGGACCTCAACCAGTCTGTAGCTGGGCTCGGCTCGGCTTGGGCTCGCACCTATACCAAGTATAATCTTTTGTCAACAAAACAAACAAAGTCAGGAGGTGACGCCTTAACACTTTTGAACTATTTCTTACTAACCGTATCTGTAAACATTGCACAGTGGCGTATGCAAAGGGGTTTCTGTGAATATTCGCTGTGATTTAAAAGTGACCTCTTGTTTTTAAAGTGAGTATTTAACCACTTAGCATAATTGCCGCGTAGGTCGCCGTGCTGATTAAATTTTATTTAAATTTCGAATTGTTTTCTGGTTTGTTAACGAACCAGTTATACGAGATTCGATATTAAAAGTCCACTCGGAGCGTAAATTAATACACATTAACTTTAACTCGCAAGTATACCCATGCTGATTGTAAAGTTCATAGCTAAATTTATTTAAACAATCGAGTGCATCTCAAAAGGGACTGAACCTTTTTTGGCAATTGTAAAAACTTTATTTCAACTGATTTTGTGTCTTGGTACTCTAGTCTCTCCTAGCTGATCACTTTTTCCTATCCTTGACTCACTGCTGTGTTTCTGAGGGTTTCTGTACTCTAGACCAAATGTTTAAAATAACATACGAGCTATCTCGTTTAAACCAGGTTAATAAATTTCAAACATTATGTGTGTAGCTCGCGTTGAATTATCAATTGTCAGCTGTTTTATTTTTTTGCTCTTTCAACATCTTGCAATGTTGCCAAATGCCTCGCAAAGTGGCAACACTGCAAATTTCTTCTGATTGTAAATGTTAACAATGTAGATAAAGTGCCTTGCAACGGCGTTTTTCTCGCAAACGCTAGCTGCGTACCTGCCCTCAAAGGATTCTCTTAAATATTTACGAGACCTCAACAATAAGGTTTAGTTGTGTTTTTAATCAGTCTTGTAACAGCTTGTCGATTGTTAGCGCAATTTGCTCTTTAAATACGGTTATTTAAAAATCAATTTATGCGGGTCGATGCGAACGTGACAAAACCGCAACAACCAGCGCGGTTCCAGTTGCTTACAAATACACAATCATGGGTATTTATAATTATGTGGGCGTCTTGGCTAATATTTAATTGAAGTATGTAAATTCGCATGCACTTATTTTAATAAAAAATAAATGCGCCCATATTTACATTCACACACACACACACACACACACACACATGCATATGTTGGATGCACTGTTCAACACTTTGTTAACATTCAAAATAGTTTTTCCCTTTTTATAACAAAAACATGAAAAATTTATTTGAAATTAAAGCTTTTCTGCTTTTAAACGAAATTATGTTATTTTCGGACTCTCGAAAGTGTAACTGAAGCGATATAAGTACACTTTTAGTTTAATTTTTTGCATAATAAAGTTGCATGAGATTTTTTGTTAATTCCAGAAATGGTTTAATTTGAAAAGCATAAGAAATTTTTTACTGTGTGCTGCCCAGTAAAGCGGTTATATTTACACCTATAGATAATATGTTGATTTGTTCCCTGTTAAGTGCGCTCCAGTTCAGTTGTAATTGCCAATTAGAAACTCTGCTGCACGGCTTTAGATGTTAATCTCTTCTTTGTAAAGTTAACCTGTGCCCAATCAGAAACTCTGCTGCAGGGCTATAAACGATATGTTTACCTGTGCTCTGTAAAGCTGAGTTGTGAATTCGAATCAGAAATCCAGATGCAATGCTTTATCGGTGTTGATCTGTTCTCCGTTAAGTTCAGCTGTAATTCCCAAGCAGGAACTGATAAATTCCTGTTGGTGTTGATCGTTTTTCTGTCATGTTCAGTTTTTCCCAATCAGAAAATCTACTCAGTGCCTTATATAATATGTTGATCTGTTTTCTGTTTGGTTCAGTTGCAGTCCCCAACTAGAAATCTGATGCAATGCTTGATTAGTGAAGGGATAGAGAGAGAGAGAGAGAGCGAATGGAAGAATGAGCCGTTGAGCTAACGAGAGCACGAGCATCGCTTGTATGTGCATGTGTATGCTGTTACTGTTACTGCTACTGCTATTGTTACTGTTACTGTTACTGTTACTGTGACTTTGATTGATTTTCGTGATTGCTATTTGTCAGCGTATTATTTATTTACCTGCACAATTGCTAGATTTCTGCAGCGTTGAAGCCACTGCACAAATACCAATGCAAAATTTGTTGTGTGCATGCTCATGCATTTATTATTTAAGCATTTGTTGCAAAACTGTTCAATTGAACAATTATGAACGGATGCAATCACAGCAAGAATGATTTTCTAGCAAATACCCTGTACTCACAGACCGCTGCTTCAAAATCTTGTATATCCTTGTAGAGTGTATTTAAATCAACGTACATAGCTTCTCTTAAGTACGAAAGTACGAAAAGATCAAGTATGTGTCAATTTGTCGATAACTTGCCCCATTTTAACAAAATCGATAAAAATCAATATCGAAATTCTTTTTTCTGAGCATATCTTGGAGCTTATTAAACGTGAAGACACCAAACTGGTGGGTAGACTCTTTTATAGTATACGCAGATACTTCGTTCAAATTGCATAAAGATCGGACAACAAACATCGAAGTAAATTGCGAGAGCAATAAAATGGGGCGAATACAGTCTGCTGTTGCGCAATATTTTCTGATGATTTTATTGCGCTCGACAAACAATAAAAGCCCCAATGCACGCAAGATAATTATTAAAATAAACAGGAATATTTAATGCGTGGTAATGTTAATTGAGGTGGAAAATTGCACTCGAATGGAGTAATTTTTTATTGTTTATCGAGAAACATGTTAATTGGATTTTAATGCGAGGCTTTTAAAATGCAATTGCAATTGGAATTGGAATTGGAATTGGAATTGCATTCAGCGTGGGTTAGATGGTATATGGAATATGGGATATGGAAAACGCATGGGATAGCATATCTAATGACAATTTTGCGCATTATTGTAATTGCAGGCAGCCATTGGACAGGCAGGACGAGGACGATTGCCGTAAGCCGTTAGCTGTTAGCTGTTAGCTGTAAGCTGTTTGCCGTTAGCCGTTGGCCATTAGCCGATAGCCGATAGCCAATAGCTTTTAGCAATTTGCCAGCGCACATTCAGGACTCGAGGAGCGTCGTGGTCGTTTGTGCGTGGCGCGGGGGCGGAGCAGCAGGCGGCGTGCGTCTGTCGCATTGACCTGGTCAGCAGTTGTCAGTCCGGCAGTCCAAGTCGTAGTCCTTGTCGTTCTCGTTGTCGTCGAAGTCAAGGAAAATGTCTTCGCCATTAGCGCAGAGCAACAGCAGCCAGTCACAGTCGCAGTCGCAGTCATCAGCAGCAGCGGCAGCGGCAGCGGCGGCAGCGCAACAGCAAAATCAAAAGTCAAATTCGGCTGCGAGCGGCGTCAACAATACACACGATAAGAATGCGGCTGGAACGACGGGGACGACAGCGAGCGGTGGCGCGGCTGCTGCAGCAGCAGCAGCAGCAGGAGGAGCAGGCGGTGGCGCAGGAGGAGCATCAACAGTCGCTGCGCCGCAGAGCCCCACAAAACGGAGCACATTATCCACAAAGGAGCGTGTGATCGATAGCGTCCCGTTTCCACCCAGCCGGAAGCTAACCTGCGCCGATGTGTTTGATGCCCGCACCGGCAAGCCGCAACATGACGTACTTAAGCAGCATTTCATCCTGGAGGGGCGCATCGAGGAGAGCGCCGCGCTTCGCATCATCCAAGAGGGCGCCACACTGCTGCGCCAGGAGAAGACAATGATCGATATTGAGGCGCCGGTCACTGTCTGCGGCGATATACACGGCCAGTTCTACGATCTTATGAAGCTATTCGAAATTGGCGGCTCGCCGGCAACCACAAAATATCTGTTCTTGGGCGACTATGTGGACCGGGGCTATTTTAGCATTGAGTGCGTCCTCTATTTGTGGTCGCTGAAGATTACGTATCCGCAGACGCTGTTCCTGCTGCGCGGCAATCACGAGTGTCGGCATCTGACCGAGTACTTCACCTTCAAGCAGGAGTGCAAGATCAAATACTCGGAGCGGGTGTACGACGCGTGCATGGATGCGTTCGACTGCCTGCCGTTGGCGGCGCTCATGAACCAGCAGTTCCTCTGCGTGCACGGCGGCCTGTCGCCCGAAATACACGAGCTGGAGGACATTAGGCGGCTCGATAGATTCAAGGAGCCGCCCGCCTTTGGCCCCATGTGCGACCTGCTGTGGTCCGATCCGCTCGAGGACTTTGGCAACGAGAAGAACTCGGACTTCTACACGCACAACTCGGTGCGTGGCTGTTCGTATTTCTACAGCTACGCCGCCTGCTGCGACTTCCTGCAGAACAACAATCTGCTGTCGATCATACGGGCGCACGAGGCGCAGGACGCCGGCTACCGCATGTACCGCAAGAGCCAGACCACCGGTTTCCCCTCGCTGATCACCATCTTCTCGGCGCCCAACTATCTCGACGTGTACAACAACAAGGCGGCGGTACTCAAGTACGAGAACAACGTGATGAACATCCGGCAGTTCAATTGCTCGCCCCATCCGTACTGGCTTCCCAACTTCATGGACGTGTTCACCTGGTCGCTGCCCTTTGTTGGCGAGAAGGTCACCGAGATGCTGGTGAACGTGTTGAACATCTGCTCCGATGATGAGCTAATGACCGAGGAGAGCGAGGAGCCGCTCTCGGACGACGAGGCAGCGCTCCGCAAGGAGGTCATCCGGAACAAGATACGCGCCATTGGCAAAATGGCGCGCGTCTTCTCTGTGCTGCGCGAGGAGTCCGAGTCGGTGCTACAGCTGAAGGGGCTGACGCCGACGGGCGCCCTGCCCCTCGGCGCCCTATCCGGCGGCAAGCAGTCCCTCAAGAATGCCATGCAGGGCTTCTCGCCCAATCACAAGATTACCTCGTTCGCGGAGGCCAAGGGACTCGATGCGGTGAACGAGCGGATGCCGCCGCGCCGCGACGCAAGCCCCTCGCCGGCGGAGGAGGGTCAGAAATCACTGTCAGCGGCGGCAGCAGCAGCGGCCAACGCAAGTGCGAATTCAATCATTGGATAATTCTAAGTCAGTAGCAGAGTAAAAAGCAGCAGAGTGGAAGAGCTGTGGAGCAGCACAGCAGCAGCGCAACCTTCGGGCAGCAGCTGCAAAGTCAGTTTTAGATGTCGAGAGTTAAGTTAAAAGCAAACGCAAGCAGCATATGGTGGGAGTGCATGCGATTGGGTGAGGGTGAGGGAGAGCGAGAGGGAGGGAAAGCAAATCAAATAAATATAGTTTCAAGCTACGGCAGCGACAGCAGCAACAGCGACAGCGCAGCCACATACGAATACCAATAAGTACACATGCATACATGCGCATACACACACACACAGCCGCAGTTGAAATGCATTTCAAACGCAAAAAACAAAAATGAAACGAACGAGTGGAAAGCATAAAAGGAAGATGAGTAGCATGCGTGTAACTTATTGGTATATATATATATATAAAAAAAAGAAGCAATTAAGATGAGCAAAACACAAGCTAATCATAAAAAAGCAGTTAAACAGTTTTGAATTATATATGTTTATATATATACATACATATATATAAAAATATATAATACTATTCATATATCATACAAATTTTGTGCAACATTATATCAAAGGAGGGCGCGCCGCTGCTGGTGCTGGCGTCGCAGCAGCAGCAACAAGAAAATTAGGTAAATTATATTATATGCAAGAATGCAAAAACAAAAAACAAATCAATCAATATATTAAACTTAAAATAAAGCTCGTCTCTGAATAAAAAAAAAATATATAAATCAACATAACTCCCAACTGAAAAGAAAACTACAAATTGAGAAAAACAACAAAAATCCTCAAAAAAAAATAAATAAAAATAATAATTATAATAATAAAACAAAAAACGCTAAACGCTAAGAAATTTTACTACTTTCGTTGTGTGGCGCCGAGGGCGACTTTAAAGCTAAACACCAAGAAGAAGCTAACGTTAAATTACTTCCTACAATCCTAATACAAAAACAAACAGACAACAACAATATTTTACTACAATCTTTTATTACACAAACATGATGAATCGACAAAGGAACAACAGACAAAAAAACAAACTTTAAAAATACGACTGAATCTCTCTCTCTATTTCTGACCCTTTCTCTCTCTCACACACACACTCTTGAAACACACGGAAACACAAACATACACCCACACACACACACTCAATAAATAAACTCAAAGTTTATGAGTAAATTGTCGTCGCCATTGTCGCCTCACACTCTCTCATCTGGTGATTGTGTATGTGGTCTTTATATACGTGCCATCTTTATCGTAGTCCTTAGCTGAATATATAAATAATGCATATATATGTACATGCATATATATGTTTATATAAATAAACCGAATTAGCTGCAGTGCAGCAGGTGTCAAATGTGCAGCCGCAGCAGCAGCCGACAAAAAGCAACGCAAAAGCAAATTGCCGACATCTAACGGTACCACACATACACACACATGCATATTGGATAAGCTTAACTTACTTACGCTCTCACTATACGCGCGCGTGTTCACTCTCTTACACTCACAACTCTCTCTATCTCTCTGTTATTTACACTCGTACGATCAAGCGGCCGAGTCATCAAACAAATTGAATCGCGTGAAAAGCAGCCGAATATCGATTCGGGCGCCTTGCGCCTTTTACGTATGCAATACAAAAACAAATTAGCGAAAACAACAATACACTGCGTTTGCATGGCGTCTCCTTTCGCAGCAGCATCACATTTGCGTCTGCGTCGCCGGCGTGAGTCGAGTCTATTTTATACTTAATCGAATTTTAGTTATTTGTTAATTACAAAAAAAAAAAAAAAAAAAATATGAAATAAAATTTAATAAAAAACTAAGAATGAAACAAAGCAAACTGAATATGTGAAAAAGTGTGCAAAAGTTTAATTGGGTTTTGTTGTTAGCTGTTACTAGTTTTTTTTTTAGTTTTATTTTTTTTTTTTTTTTGCCCATACATATTTATTGTAAACAAATGTAATATTTATGCATATGAATTACAAATTAAATTGTTATTTCTACCTTATGATGCGTATGTTTTTACCAATTGTATAATTACATAAATTTATTGTTTACTACCCTTTAAGTAATTAAGTCAAATGAATTTATAAAAATAAAATGCAAAAAGCATAAAAACGAGTGCAACTTCTCTTAAACAAATGCATAATTACTAATATTAATAACAATTATAATATAACAAAAACAACAACAAAATATTTAAAGAAAAATTTATTAAAAATACAACAAGAACAGTAACTATATACATTTATTTTTAAGCTTAAAGGTAAATGATAAATGAAAAAACAAAAACAACAACAACAACAACAAAAACAAGCGAAAGCAAGCATTAAAAACAAACTGTTATTGAGCGGATAGTTAAGGAAATGTGGGGAAAGAATTGATGAAATGTGCAGTTAGTAAAACAATTAATATTTGACAAAGACGAAACAATTGATAGTTGACAAAAATGTAATACAAAATGCAAACTTATAGCAATTTGAAGTACTTTATAAACAATTATATATACATACATACTGCATAAGAGAATTATATATATACATACAAACATACATATATTGAAATTATGGCAGGCGCAGAGCATATTAATTGATAAATGCAACACATTAATGCAACAGGAGAAGGTGATGATTAAGATAGAGAAAGGAAGAGAGAGACAGAGAGAGAGAGAGAGAGAGAGAGCAACAACAAAAATACAACCAAAGTCAGAGTAATAACACAAATAACAAAGAAGATAACGTTGCCCCTTAACATACAAATTTTAATAAGTTTATTGGCAGGTAAAATGGAAACAAACACAACAAAAACAAGAAACAAAAACAAAACACCAACTTCAGGAGAAAAAATAGATAAACACACTTCAGTGGCGCCTGCATAAATGGCAAGGGTACAATAGCTAGAAAGAGTTGTTGCCAACTCTGTCAGACAGCGAGAGCAAGTGTTGGAAACTGTTCACTAACACCATCGCCTGGAAGCAGGTAACAGTTCGCGCAAATGCCTCCGCCAAGTAAAGGGGGACTGTACCCATGCGCACATACAATAAAAACATGCATGTAGGAGAAAAAGTTCGTCAGCCGAAAAATGATAACAAAGAAGTAAACACATACATAGACAAGCATGAATATAGTATGTATGTTTACACACACACATATAAATGCAAATATGCAATTTTAAAGCGTTTTGACACACACACACATTTCCCAAATAGTCAAGGAACAAAAATAAATTGCAATAAATGAAAAAAAAAACAATACAGTTAAAAGTTAAGCAAAAGAAGAAGAACAAAATAATATACAACCAAAGCAAACTATTTATAAAAGTTTATTGCATTTCAATTCCAAAAATAATCTATTTAAACTAATTACAAAGAACAACAATTACAAATGCAGTGCGAGAAAATACTATTATTGTTTTTAAACTAATATATGTATACATATATATATATATGTATATAAATATACAAATAAATAAATATACATATATATATATATATATGTATATGTATATATGTACATACATAAGTACACATATGTGAAAAGGCAGAAAAGAATAAATAATTGACAAAATAATACCCTTACAAGCGTACACACAAGCACACTTACATATGTGTGTATGCAAAACAAACATGTATACATACATGCATATTTTTCTCCTAGAAAGCTCACGCCCTCTCCCCCCCCCCCCTCCCCCTGCCCCCTCCACCACACCCACCACTTGCCATTTAGCGCGCTCTTCTAAAACAACTAAAAAAAAAAAATACAACTAAATAAAAAACGTTTAATAAGAAGCTAACATAAGCAAACAACATATGCATATATACATGTATATGTGTATATATATATTAAACTAATACTTTTATACTATATACACAAAAAAGAAAAAAACATTTCTAATCTTTTTCCAAGGCTCACACTCAACCGCTCTCTTCTCTTCTTCTTTCTATGCATAAGCGCGGCATACACATCACTTTTGAACGGTACATTTTCTACTACAGCCACAATAAATATAAATTTACCCAAAAAACAAAAAAAAAAAACAAACAAAAAGCAAAAAAAACCAAAAATTTTAAATAAATTTAAAACCGAAAAAATCGTTACAAATCTTAAAAGAAAAAAGAAATAAAAAATAATATAAATATATACTAACTTTTTATGACTTTTATATTCCATTTTAATTTCTTTCTTCTACTGCTTCTTCTTTTTCTGAGCAAGCATGAGAGATAAAGAAATACAAAGAGAGAAAGAGAGAGAATTACTAAATTGTGAAATATATATATATATATATATATATATATATATATATTAATTTTCCTTTGCAATAAACAATTGAAAACTGTTGAACAATTTGTTGCCGTTGTTTGTAAATTAGCATAAATACTTACATACATACATATTGTACAATCACATTGTTTTAAACAAATTACTTAATTTTTAAACATGATTTTGTTAATGTTTTTCGATAGGTTAAAAACTGAAAATAAAATTTTCATTTTGTTTACTCTTCAAATAAATATAAACAAAGATTTTAATTAGTTTTGTGTGTGTGTCTGCGGATCTGTGTGTGTGTGCGTGTGCGTGAGTGTGTGTGTGTGTGTGGGTGCGTGTGTGCGTGTAGGTTGTTGTACCTATTTATTTATTTTGAAATTTGAGTTTAACTTTCAGTTCGTTTATTTACCACGTCTTCATTGCAAAAGCTAAAAAGGGATAAATCCCCCTTTATAAGTAATATTTGTAATGTTTGTATATTTTATCTAATTTTTTGATACATGTATTTTTCAACATCTACTTCCTGCCCTCGAATGCTTTAAAACTTTACACAAGAAAAACTTAAATATATATTATAAAAAGAATTAAAACTTTACCTTTTGGATAAATCAATTTAAATGCATATTTTATATATATTTAAACATTTATTTATATGCATATATATACATATATACATAAAATAATATAAGTTGAAGCAACTTTGTCGGAGTCAAAGCAAAAAGTTTATATACTTACATTTAAACAAAACAAAAACAAAAAAAAAAACCAACAAATAATATTAAACAACATTAAAACAAATTAATATTTAAAACAATTATAAAAAATTAAAAAGAAAAACAAAAAAAAAACACACAAAAAACAAAAAGAATAAAAGAAAACATCACATCTAGATAATTCTCTTAAAAATTTTCAATTTTATTATAAAACCGAAAATAAGTAAATTAACAAATTTAACAGTGAAAGCATTAATTTATTATAAATTTATAAATGTATTTCAAGGGCAGCTGGCTGGCAAAAGAGGCAAAATGCGGAATGCAAATTGCCAAATTGCCAAATTGCAATTGCGCCGTTGTGAAGAAAAATTGTATGCAATCCAAAAAAGAACAAATTAATTTACAAATCGCATTGAAAAATGCAGAAAAGAAGTTTTATCCTTAAGTGAATGCAAAATAAAAAATGATTATCAATGTTATTAACAAAATTAATATTAACAAAGCAAGAAACAAAACAATACAAAACCATTTAAAAAAAATATACAAGTACCTATCCTAAAAATAAAATGCGCGCACGTTTATTATTTCCTCTAAATGTTCGTTTTGAGTATTAACATATAAATCTACATACATATTTTGTGATTTTTTTCAGTGATGCTTCCATAGTAAGTTACCGTTATGTTTTATTTGTAAGCATCGATGTTGACATATCGGTTGGACATTGATATTCCGATTAATCGATCTAATGGATATGCGTTAATCAGCCTAAAGAATATATGGATCCTTAAATATCATTAGCTCATCATCATTCAGAACATCTCAATTCATTGTGTAAAATTGGGCGCGATTTCAAGATATTTCAATTTCAATACTAAAACGTTTGCAAATGGCTCTGTAGGACTCAATAATAAAAACTAGATGCTGTTCTTTGGAATGCTGTTGTTATTTTTGAAGCACTCACTAATTAAGTGCAACGTGTCAATTGCTTTATTTAAGGCGTGTAACAAATTACTCCACAACAGTTCGATGAAGCTTTGAATTTGATGGCTGTTGTGTACATATATCTAAAATAAGGCGTATTGAAATGATGATGATGCTGACTATTCTAAATTAATACCGCAATGCATGCGCTTACGTCATCTTTCTCCAGCCTTACGTTAGCATGCGTGTCTTAACGTCAAACTTGGTATTTTCGGTATTTTTGTAAGTTAAAAAATGGGGCATACAGCTTTTGCCGCTTACGGTCACACTGGTAGAATATCAATAAAAATAAAGGAGAGGGAGGGGGAGCTGAAAATTCCATTGAGAAGCGAAAAAAACGTAGCGAGAGAAATTACGACGTCTGCAGGGCACAGCAGCAGCCAAGACGAAACGAAAATATAAATACAAATTGTGAATATATTGCTGTTGTGTTACAGAAGCAGCAGTGACGACAAGAACAAGATATCTAATAAAATACCAAAAGGCTGGCAACGCGATAAAGCGGCTAACTAGCTCCAAAAACAGCAGCAGCAGCAGCCGTAGCAGCAGCAGTAGCAGCAGCAGTAGCAGCAGCAGCAGCAGCCGTAGCAGCAGCAAAGTAGAAAAGTGCGTGTGTTGTTGGCCAACGTGCCTCTGTGTGCGTGTGCGTGTGTGCAGCTAGTGCAATTAAGTGCAGTAGGCGGCGCACACAATAATAAAAAAAAAACGCTCACTCTGTGTGGGCGCCAGCTCGAGCAACAGCCACAGCAGCAACTGCAATTCAATTCACAGCGCACTGCAATAATGTCTTCGAATAATCAATCGAGCGGCGTCGCTGGCCAAGTGGCAACAAGTGCCAACCCGCGCGGTGGCTCCACTAGCAACTCCACGGATGCCACAGATACGCAGCATGGCAGCAACAATAGCGCGAACAATGCCAGTGCCAACGCCTCCTCCACAGGCAATGCCACAGCAAGCAGCAACAGCATCTCGAATGCCGCCAGCGTTGGTCACGATAGCCCCACGCACAAGGCTCATGGCGGCCATGCGCCGATCAACACCAAAGAGCGAGTCGTCGACAGTGTCCCATTTCCACCCAGTCACAAACTGACGCTGGCCGAGGTATTCGACGCGCGCACCGGAAAACCAAATCACGAGCTCCTCAAGCAGCACTTCATTTTGGAAGGGCGCATTGAGGAGGCGCCGGCAATGCGCATAATTCAGGAGGGCGCCGCACTGCTGCGGCACGAAAAAACAATGATCGATATTGAGGCGCCGGTCACTGTCTGCGGTGATATACACGGCCAGTTTTATGATCTCATGAAGCTCTTCGAGGTGGGAGGCTCGCCGGCGACAACAAAATATCTGTTCCTGGGCGACTATGTGGACCGGGGCTATTTTAGCATTGAGTGCGTCCTCTATTTGTGGTCGCTGAAGATTACGTATCCGCAGACGCTGTTCCTGCTGCGCGGCAATCACGAGTGTCGGCATCTGACCGAGTACTTCACCTTCAAGCAGGAGTGCAAGATCAAATACTCGGAGCGGGTGTACGACGCGTGCATGGATGCGTTCGACTGCCTGCCGTTGGCGGCGCTCATGAACCAGCAGTTCCTCTGCGTGCACGGCGGCCTGTCGCCCGAAATACACGAGCTGGAGGACATTAGGCGGCTCGATAGATTCAAGGAGCCGCCCGCCTTTGGCCCCATGTGCGACCTGCTGTGGTCCGATCCGCTCGAGGACTTTGGCAACGAGAAGAACTCGGACTTCTACACGCACAACTCGGTGCGTGGCTGTTCGTATTTCTACAGCTACGCCGCCTGCTGCGACTTCCTGCAGAACAACAATCTGCTGTCGATCATACGGGCGCACGAGGCGCAGGACGCCGGCTACCGCATGTACCGCAAGAGCCAGACCACCGGTTTCCCCTCGCTGATCACCATCTTCTCGGCGCCCAACTATCTCGACGTGTACAACAACAAGGCGGCGGTACTCAAGTACGAGAACAACGTGATGAACATCCGGCAGTTCAATTGCTCGCCCCATCCGTACTGGCTTCCCAACTTCATGGACGTGTTCACCTGGTCGCTGCCCTTTGTTGGCGAGAAGGTCACCGAGATGCTGGTGAACGTGTTGAACATCTGCTCCGATGATGAGCTAATGACCGAGGAGAGCGAGGAGCCGCTCTCGGACGACGAGGCAGCTCTCCGCAAGGAGGTCATCCGGAACAAGATACGCGCCATTGGCAAAATGGCGCGCGTCTTCTCTGTGCTGCGCGAGGAGTCCGAGTCGGTGCTACAGCTGAAGGGGCTGACGCCGACGGGCGCCCTGCCCCTCGGCGCCCTATCCGGCGGCAAGCAGTCCCTCAAGAATGCCATGCAGGGCTTCTCGCCCAATCACAAGATTACCTCGTTCGCGGAGGCCAAGGGACTCGATGCGGTGAACGAGCGGATGCCGCCGCGTCGCGATCAGCCGCCCACACCCAGCGATGATAATCAGCATCCGCATCAGATTCATAGTCAAGGAAACAATGGCGCGGCGCATGGGTAAACAGCAACGTCGATGGCAATGACAACGGCGTGGGGGTGACAACGGGACTCGGCGGCTTCTGTGGACGCCGATCTCGATCGGTATTAATAATAATACCTGTTGTCGATGGTGTGACGTGTTGTGGTGTTGTGTGGCGTGGTATGGTGGGGTGTTGGCTATGCGCCCAGAGCATGTTCTGAGCACGTACAAGACGGCACAGCACACGCACGCACACCTACACACACACACACACACATACACAAACACACACACATATTAACAAATAATATCTACATATAAACATTATAATGTTGCAAAGATTTGTCGTTTTAGCTAAACATCATTCGTAATAATTGTAATACACAAAATACATACTTATTTTAACGATAAGCAGAGAGGTCAAAGGCGAAGTAACAATGGAGCAGTTGAACAATCGGAACAGAGCAAATCAGAATAGAACCCCGAATATGGCACGTGGAAATTCAACTTAAATATCTCACACTATGAAATTTGAACTCGAGAACAGCAGCAACAGCATAAGTAAAGGATTTTATGCCCCCCGATGAGGTATGCAGGATATTACAATTAGCCACAGATTCCTTTTTCCGTAATTAAAGCAAAATACCCGAAATTAATCTTAAGCCTGTATGTATAAAGATTGAGGAAATTAACAAACAAAAAAAAAGTGAAAAAAAACCCAAAAACCTAGCGCTAATTTGTTCAAAACAATTAGCAGCGCCAAAAAGAAGCGTACATATTATAATTAAAGAGAACAGAAAAAAAGAGAACATTAACATTAATGAAATACAAGCATACTTACATTAATTTATATATATATATATATATATATAAATAAACAGTAAGGAACTGTGCAATCTTTAAAACTAAAACACTAAATATTAATTGATGCTTACACATTGTAATTCGCAAAAGCAATTTGAATCAATATGCAATATGTGCCGCAATAGTCCACAAATGTTCCTTATACATTTTATTAAATACATCTATACATATATGTAATATGTACATATAAATAAATACATACATATATAGGTATATATATATATATATATGTATTTGTTTGTTTGTCTATCATTAAATAATTTTGTAAATGTTAAATTGTTGCCTAATATAACTTAACATACATTTGTTTCTATGCGTGAATGTGTATAATTTATTGTGTTTATTATTTGCATAGCTAAACATTTTGATTTCATTTTACTACTGTGTACAATTCTAGTAAATAAATCAAGAAAAGTGGAGAAGCAGAAAACGAAATACATCCAGAAAATACAAAGGAAAACAATTTAAACAAATCAGCAAAGTTTAGCCGCAACCGAGAACTTCTAAGCATTGCATTTTAAATATTCAATTGATAATAAAATGGCATAACACAAAAGCCCCACAGACAAAAAAAAAACACAAAAACAAAAACAAAAAACGAAAAAAAAAAACAAAAACAATTTACCATTTAAATAGCAAATCAAATATTTAACTAATAATATAAATACTTAAAAATATCTAAACATATGTATAACTGCAGCTGCAAATGAATATCAATTTTTGCGTATTCTTTTTGTTAAAGAAAAAAAATATAAAAAAAAAATATACACATATATATAATTATAATCACAACAAATCCAATAAACACTAAAACATTTTCTCCCATACATCTCTTTTGTTCACATGTTTCATTTGTGTAATTTAATTTTAATTTGTTTAAAATAACCTCCGCCATTTTTTTCCCCTTTTTTTTTATTGTTATTATAGCAAAATATATGTTTATTGACATTTGGAAAGCAGAAGTTTAAAGAGTTTCACTTGGTAGAAAATAAGAAATCACGCACAACATTGCTTTGAATAATAATTATGAATGTTTTGATTCTAAACAAAAACCTCAACAACAAATAGTCTAGCCATTGAGTTAATAATATGTATGGTTAAAAAAAAAAACAAAAAAAAAACGAAAACAAATATATATAAATCCTTAAAGCATTCACAAATTGTGCACAATACATCAAGCAAATCAATATTATATTACACGAAAAGGAATATATATATATATATATAGATTTATTTATATATATATATACATAAATTATATAACATAAATATGAATGTTTTTTGGCAAATAGTAATATTGAACTCCTACTGTATAAAGTCAAATGAAACAATAAGCTTTTTACTAGCACATTTGCAAACAAAAACTTAAAACTATTTCCCAGACTTTTCGAACTGAAATTAATTTACTTGTGCCATGCTAGAACTCAAGAAAACTCCTTAATATATAACTCATGTTAGCTAATGTTTCAATTAAAAAAACCCAATTATCGATTTTAATCGGGAACATTAAGGATTCAGATAACCATTTAAAACAAATGTTTTGATTTGTATGAAAAACTAAGACGAAAAGTCTCTCTCTTCTTATTATACAAATAAGAAATACAAGTTTTCGATGTTTTTTAAAGTAGAAATGAAAATCTTGTTGCTCTATCCTTCTACAGTTAGTATCCAATGTTTACAGACATATATTAACTTTGGTCATTAACTGTTTAATATGTGCAACAAATGATTTTTACTTCTGGTTTACGGAAAAATCACATAGATAATTCTTACTACTGACTTTTATAATAATAAAAAAAAAAAAAAAAAAAAAAACCAGCCAACAATTTGTATAATTGAAGTACATAATAATAATAATCAAAACTATAGTTATTTGAGTTGTAAAGATGTATTTTTGAATAGTCTAACCAGAACCATACTCCATATTTATGTGGTAATCTTTAAGACAAAAGCTCTGATATACGACCCCTGATTGTAACTAAGTATATATATGAGAACTACAAATATTATTCAGTGTATGAATATACATACATAACCACCACACACAAATGCCTTCATAATCATTGTTTGTTTACGACTCTCGAGTTGTAAATAATGTTAATTTGTTAACATTTGCTGTTTCTCCTTTTTATCAATTTCAACCTAACGCTGTACTTTGCTTAAAAAAATTACTAATTCCAATCAAAAAAAAAAAAAAAAAGTAATACATAAAATTATACGTATACTGATCTTAATATGTAAAGTCATTAAAATTAGTGTTTAACTTAAAATTAATGAATTATGCACGTGTCGAAATAATACTTCTGCATCTATCCATGCAGATATATACATATTTGCGTAAAACTGAAAACTAAGTTAAAAACTAGCTTTTATAAAAACCTCACACAATTATTCAACCAAAAATCGCAGTTAATTACACTTTGGCACGACAGTACATACATTTAGTAAGTTTTTAAGCATATTTACATAAATTTCGTTAACGTGATTTGTGTTTATTCCGCTTATAAATGAAATGTTAAAACTGCTATGCGGTAGTGCATAAATTTAGTTAGTAAAAATATTTAAAAGAAAAAAAGAAAGCAAATCAGTTGCTAAACTGCAGCGGTTAAATGAAATTGTAAAACTTGCATAATTTAAAAACAAACAAAAAATGAGAAAAAATGAAAGAAGAAAGTAAGAAACACAAAGAAAAGGAAAGAAAATCAAACACCAAACCGAGGGACGTGTTATGAGATTTACAAATGTGTTATACTAATTTGTTGAGAGCGAATTCATGTGTTATATTTATTGCCGCCAGCTGTTATATGTGCATATACATATATAACAGATTCGGCCAGTCTATTGTTAATCAATGCTAACTAGAAATGAAACTAAACAACGTGCTTCTCAACTAACTGTTCCATTTACAAGTACATAGCGATTTATGTACCATTTATGTATTGTATTACAAAAGTCATTTGTCCACCGCTTTGAAGTACGACTTAAAATTCAGTGTGTGCATGGAGTATTTCATGGCAGTCTACACACACAAACACACACACACACACACACATACATACACATACACAGACACACAGGACACACTTACATAAATATCTAGATTTTGATAAATATCAAGTGCATACAAATGATTACGGTACACACAACCTACATAAACACATGGATCGACCACAAGGAACTAAGCAGAATCAAAAAGAAATTTACTCAAAAACTAACAAATTAAATAATATTAGTGCAGCATTTGCACATGGAAGCAAACAAATGTATATGGAAGCAGCATTATGTATATCTAAGACATTTCGCCTCTTAAAGCAATTCTAAAGATAACAAATTATATATACATACAATATACATATTATATAAACCAAATAAAATAAATTGTCGCGACTCTCAGCCTGCTTCGTCTATTAATGGCTCCTTACCAAGCACTTCATATCCTGGCTCTGTTGCACCCATATCATTCCTTTGCTTATCTCAATTCAAATAGCTTAAATAGCTTCATAGATTCGTTACAGTTCAGATTTGCTTTTGTTTTAAATCCGTCAATTTGGAAGATTCATTTGTTATCACTCAGAGCTTGTAAGGAAGATTGTTATAACCAATACTTATAAGAATTTTGAAAACTACAAAGAACCAATGGAGCTATTTGCATAATCAATGACCATTATCATGAGTGATGTTCGGGGAATTAACATTACAGGTTGGTATGATTGTAAATCCCCATCAGTAAATGGTACGGCTCTCCTTTAGATTCTTATTGGATCTCGTTTTGTGTCTAGGTTACTTTGTTAATCTATATAATAACATACAAGAATTCAGAATATTTAACTCTACATATGGAATTTTTGATTATGGTTTGTATATTTTTCAGATAGTTTTGTTTTTTGAGGCAGCTAGATCGATGTTGATGACTTCCTAAGGGACTATAATGAGTTAAGGTTTAAGCAAACAGGTGGATGTCAATTAAGAAAGCTAAATAATTGACATACACTATCAGAAGTGATATTATTTTCCATATTCACTCATATACATATTTGAATAACACATTTCAAAGTATGCATTTTTGTTGTATCCTTTTGTCGCCAAATTTTAAAGTCCGTAACGACCTAAAAAAAACCGATACTCGATATGCAGCCCTCAAGAAAGGTAACGATGTTTGATAAGCAAAATATATTGCAATATCGATATTCACAATACAACTCTGCTTTTACATGTGTGTGTTTTGCTCTGTTTTGTGCCGCCTAGAAATCGAAATTTCAACTGTTTGCAAGTCTTTCGCCATTAATTGATTGAAAAGAATTTATTTGTGGCACACATTTATTGTACAAAGAGTGCGCACAAATATATAGCTTAACGCAAAACAATAGAAAATACGGCAAGAGAGTGAGAGAGCGTAGCATTAAGAGGAGAGTCCGCACGAGTGCCAGTGCATATGTGTGTGTGTTGTGTATGAGTTTCGCCTGCGTGTGTGTATGAATGAAGCTGGCATTATATGCGTGTCTGTGCCTGTGCCCGTTTGTGTGTTGAAAATTGTGTGATTAACTGCATTGAGCTTCGTCTGGTAGTCATTCAACAGTAGTATTAAAACGGCTGTGGCTGCAGGAATTTGACTCATCAACTGCTACAGCGACGCGCCGAAACATTAAGCCGTTATACCAACAACTGCAGCAGCACAAGCAAGAGGCAATCAACACCCACGACGACGTCAACAACAACAGCAGCAGCAGCAGCGGCAGCAGCAACAACACTAGGCGGCGGCAGAACCAGCGACAAGGCAGCCGTGGATAGTTTTAGTTACAGTCCGAGTCCATAGTTTGAGGAGCATAAAATGGATAGCAAGGGCCGCAAAGTTATTGTTTGTGATAACGGCACTGGGGTATGTATGCTTTAAATTCATATCCAAGCGCTACAAATTCCACAGAGACAATCTCACGGCTAGTCCCAGTTGATGACACACATTTGCAGCTCTTGCTTGCGCGCTGTGGTTATACAGCGATTTTCTTTGCATATCGGGGCGTTGACACTGCGGGGGGCGCTCCCTAATGTAACCGGTGTAGCGTCTTCTTAAGTATGTACAATATAATAATAACTGTGATTTAAGAAATGCATTTTTTGTATATGTACATATATACATAATAATGCATGTATATAAATACATATACAAACGGCGCTTTAGTCATGGTTACAAAAGTTTTGTACAAGCTGCGACGGCATTACTCACCGCAGCAAATCTAAAGTTACGCATACACTCTCTCACGTACACTCACACGCAACATACCAAAACCAAAAGCAATACCAAAAAGAGCGCCAGAAAGAACAGACACAACAACAACAACAACAACAACAGCCCATTCCCAATCTTATTTCTTATCAGGGCTAAAGTATTTGTGAGTGATTACGCCTCGTTTCGAGCATGAACTATCGATTGTTGCAAGTCTTTCGATAACTGCATTAACTGTTATATATCCATGATCTATGTAAATAAAGTTCTAAATCTAAACACAAACCACAAATCCAAAATGTGAGCTTGACTTAAATGACGATATGATAGAAATCCTTAATATTTCTCTTATCGAAAAATTTTTTTATTCCATTCTTTTTCCGATCATTTGTGAGCAAAGGTCCCTTCGATCGTAAACATACATACAAATTTAATTATTAAAAGATGTTTTCCAATATGATTTGATATTTAATCAAAATGTCTTTCAAGCGGACATCTCTCTAAGCAGGATACAAACACTGGAGCTGTGTGTGTACGTTCGCTAAAGCGAGGCTCTACTGTATATGTACATATGCACATAGGGTATTCAAAACCAAGTACCCAACCACGCAGACGCAGCTGTTTAGCGATTCTTTGAGCTGCAACTGGGTTGCAAGCTGTTTACGTGTGAATTGGTCAGCCCAGATGTGTTTGAGTAGCATTAAATTTGAAGAAATCAATGCATTTAATGCACAATTTAATCTATTTTCCCTATCTTATTTACAGTTCGTCAAATGCGGCTATGCCGGCAGCAATTTTCCCGCGCACATTTTTCCATCGATGGTTGGCAGGCCGATAATACGAGCGGTCAATAAAATTGGTGACATCGAAGTGAAGGTATGAGAAGCGTATTACCAATTGGCACATCTAAACGCATTTAATACGGACACACACAAACCCACAAACACACACAAACCCACACACAAACCCACACACACATACACACACACATACACCCACATACATACTTAATATATAAAAATATACATATGCACAGGTCGATTATATCTACTCGTAATAACTAAGTACTCTATAATATATTTATACATACTATATATGATTAGCATTGGTCAAGAACTTAGCGCATAGCCTCACCATACTTATCATACTGTATGTCCATTATTCTTATACTTTCACTTTCGTGTTTCCATACCCATATTCATTCTTATGTTTGTTGAATACCAAACAAATACTTAACTTACAATTAGTGTGTCACTTGGTTTTGTTTTCTTATCACAAATCCTATTATTTCTATCTTATTTTTTTTTTTCTGTTTTTCTTTTGTTCGTGCAACATTTCTACATTTCTTGCATTTTGTATTGAGTTGCTGCAACAACGACAATAACGACAACACATCCTCATCACCACCATCATCATCATCATTATAATGGGTGTCTTTGGTCTAAGTATACGATATTAACGGTGTAGGTGTATTTAAAATCTTGTTATATCTTTTTATGACAATTGTAACAGTACAACTACACTCTCTGCTTAGTTCTTGTGTGTGTGTTTGTTGTGTGCTTCTCGACAAACGTTCTTGATATGTATGATATATAGATGGTGTACTATATTTGCGCTACACAAAATAGTACTTAAAAGCGGCCAAATACTGGAACTGTTTTCGATTCTTTTCAATTTCTAGCAATCAGTAGGCTGGGCTCCTTAGGGCCCCAACATTTTGGACAATCCTATTGCATTAGAAAGCCATCTTTATAAACAGCATGACTTTTTGCTTCCAGGCTTTTTCTATATAAATATATATATACTATACATTTTTTTTGTACATGCATTAGAGTTAGGTACTTTGAGCACTTTATACATACATTCATTCCAGATACATTCAATGTAGATCTATTATTGAACGGTTTTGACAGCTACTAACTATATAAGTTTAGCTTATTTACAAAATATCAACAGATATTTATATAAAAAAAAGAGCATACAATCTATAAAGAGGAAAATCTTTCTGTTTTTAATATTCTTATACATTTTTTTCTGTTCTTTTTTTACATATTTTTTTGAAACAAATATTTTACAGGATTTACATGTCGATGTAAGTCAAGTTTTATAGTTTAAAAAACGTAATAAAAAAAACAACAAATACTTAACTCCCAGTGTTAAGATGCATAATAAACTATAAAACAAAAAAAAAAAAAAAACAGCAAGTAGAATATTTCAAATTTACGAAAAGCAATTTATATTTATTATGTACACGAAATGCACACGCTAACAAACTAACGAGTAATCCCAAATCTTATAGTAAACTTTTTATATTGTTAGTGAACTTGATGTTATTAATTTGAAAACAATTTGTAATGTTTACATTACGAATATTATATTTACATTGAAATTCTTTGATTGCTTTTACGATACATTTGTTTCCAGTGTGCGGTCTTTAAATAATATGTCGAAATTCAATTACCATGAATATTGTTGTTTTTTTTTTATTTTTTGTTTTTTGCATCAAACTGCATTCAATACAGTTATTTATTTGTTATGGCTAGCTTTTACTTAAGTTATATACATAAACATATGTACATATACATATATCTGGCCTTAATTATTGCTGTACCAAAACTAAATGAAAAACACACTTTTTAGAGGATATTTTTAGTTGTTTGTTTTAGTGCATGACAAGTTTTGATAACATGTATAAATATTTATATTTTGGTATATGTTTTTGCCATTGAAGTTCTGCACGTTATATGTTTTGAATTAAAGACAATCACAAGATAACAGGAATGTTTTTAATGTCCAAATATATTGTGCGAGTGCTTAAACTAGTTTGAAGCTTCTTACGTTAATTGTTTTTATTGCTCGTTACTCGTCATTCGTTACTCGTTACTCGACACACGTTTTCTGTAACTCGTTGCTACATATTCAATTCGTTAAGCATTTGTATTTGTTTTCTTTTAATCTTTTTGTGCCTGTTTAGCGCCTAAGCGAGTTGGCATCTTAGTGAGTTGAACTAACTCTAAAACCTTTAACGAGTAATCGCTATTTTAATCAGACAATGTACTAAACAATGCCATACAAAATGTTCGCTACATTGATATTAAACAATATATGTGACCATTTACAGGACCTCATGGTTGGCGATGAAGCCTCACAGCTGCGCTCATTACTGGAGGTCTCCTATCCCATGGAGAACGGTGTTGTCCGAAATTGGGAGGATATGTGTCATGTGTGGGACTATACGTTTGGCCCAAAGAAAATGGACATTGATCCGACGAACACAAAGATATTGCTAACGGAGCCCCCAATGAACCCCACAAAGAACCGCGAAAAGATGATCGAGGTACGTAAACATGAAGTTCTTCTTTTTCTCATATGTTTTCATGGACACTGTTCACAGGTGATGTTTGAGAAATACGGTTTCGATTCCACGTATATTGCCATACAGGCGGTATTAACGCTCTACGCCCAGGGTCTCATATCTGGCGTTGTGATCGACTCTGGCGACGGCGTGACGCATATTTGTCCTGTCTATGAGGAGTTCTCTCTGCCACATTTGACGAGGCGTCTGGATATTGCGGGCCGTGATATAACGCGCTATTTGATTAAGGTAGGGCACGCATAGAAAGATATTATTTGCGAGTTTACTGACCTGTTTTATTTCAAATCCCCTAGTTACTTTTATTACGTGGCTATGCCTTTAATCATTCCGCTGACTTTGAAACGGTGCGCATTATGAAAGAAAAACTATGCTACATTGGCTACGATATTGAAATGGAGCAACGTTTGGCACTAGAGACCACGGTGCTGGTGGAATCTTATACGGTACGAACCGCTTACAGCTTACAGGCATATAGAGCATTTGATAATGTTAGGTCTTACTTTTATACTTGCTGTGTTGTGTAGTTACCCGATGGCCGTGTGATTAAAGTGGGTGGCGAGCGTTTTGAAGCGCCCGAGGCGTTATTCCAACCGCATTTGATAAACGTTGAGGGTCCCGGCATTGCGGAACTGGCCTTCAACACGATACAGGCTGCGGACATTGATATACGACCCGAACTCTATAAGCATATAGTACTTTCTGGAGGCTCAACCATGTACCCGGGTCTGCCCAGTCGTTTGGAGCGTGAAATAAAGCAATTGTACTTGGAGCGAGTACTCAAAAACGACACAACAAAACTGGCGGTAGGTGCATTAACATTTGTAAATTTCCGATAAATTGATTTCACTTGCTCATTTTTAGAAATTTAAAATACGTATTGAGGATCCGCCGCGTCGCAAAGATATGGTTTTCATTGGCGGCGCTGTGTTGGCCGAGGTAACGAAAGATCGCGATGGCTTCTGGATGTCCAAGCAGGAGTATCAGGAACAGGGTCTTAAAGTATTGCAGAAACTGCAAAAGATCAGCAACTAAAACAACAACAATAACAGCAAGAGCTAACTGAAACGATAATCAATGGACACAACAGCAGCATTTGCATTTGCTTATCTTAAGTTCAAATTTATAGTTATTCGATTTTTTCCTAGAGAAAGAGAGAGCAAGAGAGAGAGAGAGGGGGAGAGAGAGTCAGTTAGTGCTCATTGCCTGCTAAAAAGTGGGTCTGTTTATAGCTGCGAATGCGGGGAGACGTGTTTATTCAGTCCATTCAGTTCATACTATTTGTGAATTTCTCTCCTTGTTTCATACACGTGTACATTCGTATATGCACATAGTAAGAGCATATTTTTCACACGCCCAGCACCCTTAATTGCTATGTTATAATCGTAATGCCAAATCTTGTATAATTTGTCATTTTGGCTCTAAATTTTAAGCAAATGTCACTTGAATTGTAATAATTCTTATCATAATGCCTTTGTTTATTTTGTTTTCAATTCTTTATTTTATTTACAATAATTTCTTCTTTTTTTTTACTAAATATATATGTGCATAGATTGTATTGATATTTTTGTAAACAAGTATCTTTTCATTTGTGCTGTAGCCTACAAACTGAAGTATTTTCATGTTTCCTTGTCAAAAAAATATGAGTATTAACCAGGTCTGGGCAAGTCGCTTATAGAGTTATATCACCGATTATAAATCGTCTGGGCTTTTCTGTGTGTGAAAGAGACAATGAGTGAGCTGCATAGTTTAAAGTGAAATAAATACATAAATACTTATATAGAAAATTATTTGTGCTAACTAAGTTAGTTGCCCGCGGCTGCGTTTGCTAGTTCATATTGCAATTCATGACTGCCCCATAATTTTAAGCATACATACATAAATCACAAAATACAAAACAAAATGTGTTCCGATGTGCATATTGAAAAATGCAATAAACTGTAATTGTGTGTATAAGTCGTCTACCTATTTATTTGACCATTATGCCATCCGAATCTATAGCAGCTTAAAGGTTTTAGCTGACAACAAGCTATGCAGAATTTTAGTTAGTAAAGCAATAATCCGTTTAGATAGAATATTTCAGCTTACATTTTAAAATTTTCCCCAAGATTGCCAATCAACTGGAGCGATTGGACGCAATGCGCCCTTTACAAGAGATTCCCGATTTTTATCTGATGATTCAATTAAGTTGGCGAACCAAACAAAAAAATGCAGATTTATTATTTATTTCCAATTCAATATATGTAAACAAGTACATACGATTATAGAGTCGACTAGTTGAATATATGAATACAGGAAAAACTGTCTCGAACTTCGAGTTATTGAGGTTAAAAGAAAATAACAGCTTGCGACATCCATTTAGTTAATCAAAACAATACGTGTAACTGGTCATTTCCATTCCAGAACTGGGAAGCAAATCGTAAAATTCACTGAATTAATAAAAATGTACGTATGTACTTAGTTCTATGCATATTATTATATGCATTATATTCAAGTGCGTATAGTTAATAGCTATTGTTCATATTGTACATGAGACAAGTTTTTTTTTTATAAAAGTATAAAAAATAAAGATGCCCCCGAAATTAATGATATTTTTTTGACGAGCGGAATTGAAAAAGAAACAAATTTAAAACATTTTCTTGATTTTGACATGGCTTAGGCTTGAGATTGAGATACGAATAGTGTTGAAAAATGGTAAATGCTGTTGGCAGCATGATTCACGTTGCTCTACACTGCGCAAAAAATAATTAAAACTGGTAATTGACAAGTGGAGTTAAAAAATAAATTAATTGTTGACGCTTTTTATCTTATTCCAATATGCTTGTATTTCAGTTACGCTTCTCTAATAAGGTGATTGGAGGCATAGTGTTGAGCAACGGCAAACGCTGTTGGCAGCACTACTCAGGCTACACTACACTGCACGAAAAAATAAGTGAAACTGGTATTTGACGAGTAGAGTTCAAGATATTTTTTGAATTTTGTAGGCCCGGCTCTGATTGCCAATTAATCGCACATTAAGGCAAGACTATGGCTCAATGACCTAAAGCTTCGCTGGCTGCAATCATGTACCATTTCCAACCAATCCTTTACCTTGTGCTAGATGGCACCCTCTATAACACCAGTTGCATCCTCGCGGTCATGTGTAAAGATAGCCTTAGACATTCGCTTTGCGACATCGACCTATCCATTCGTTGGCGCATTCCCGATTCTTGGTATCCATTTTGTGCAATTGGAGTTCGACCATAAATACGAATCCCTTCCGATAGCCAACGTTCACACCTTATACACACAGAATCCAGAGATTCTACCTTTTTCCGTGATGGAAGCGCAACTCTTGGCCATATCCGCTATCAAATAAGGCCAGAGAACTTTGATTTAACTTCTCACAGCTTTTGATATAATCATTTATTTTTATTCGTAATGTGAGACAACATTCAAAATATATTAATGCTTAGGAGACGTTTGGATAATCTTTAAAAATGAGTACTCAATACTGTTTTTGTCGAACTCTATATCAAGGCCAACGTAATTCTGAAATCAGTATTTGTTTCATTACAACTAATATACTGGAGGCAGACGGATATGGCTAATGTAGCCATAGACTGTCGGTACTGATCAAGAATAAATATATACAATGCTTATGACATTAAATGAAAAAATTATAATGCCCTCTACAAGGGTATAAAAAGAAAATATTCATTAAGATTTATACTTAAAGACTTAATGTCAAGATAGCCTTTTCGAATCTTCATAGCTTGTGTGTAGCAATCATAATTACTGTGAAGTGCAGGATAATATAATCACTTTATATTTATAGTCACTTTTTGGTTATTTCCTCTATTTCAGCCATACTTTATTTGGAAAAACTCACTTTTAAAGGTAGGCCCTTGCGATTTGGTATGTAGACACACATTTGAGCCACAATTTTGCACTGACATTTTGTAAGGATCGGACTGTAAACACCGACGATTCTTCGAAATACATTTTCCATAGTTAGGAGTTTAGTAACAGCCGCTGCATTCACTGCACAGCAATGGTTATATGTATTGAACGAAACTGGAATGCTTCTAAAGGTAGGTCCGTGCGAGGTTCGGTGTATTTTCTAGTCGGGTACTCCCAACCAGTGCATACTTACTTATTATTTCTTATTCTTACATATGTGTAAATTCAGGGCAACGCACGTGATAGAAGCATGTCTTCAATGCGAAGAAAAGCGAAGAAAAATCCAAAAATGTTTTCCTAGTCCTTCTAATAGTAGTACACTTCGAATAGAAGGCGTTCCCTTTTTGGCAATTGCCCATATTTAACCAGGCTTATAACTTACCTACATACTTTTGGCATTGCTGTTAGACCAATAGAAGCCAAGAGTCAGTCAGCAGAAAGAGAAAGTCGTGCATAATTTTGGTTAGAGTATACATTCATACATAGACACTGCAGCGGTTTATTTAGACTTTTCAAATCGCAATTAATACATTTTTGCTAGTACAACAATTCTATAAACACTTTTAGTAAATTTATGGGGCTAAAACAGATTTTCTAAGATGCTTTGACTCTGTCGCAACGCTGGGTATTTAGTTTGAGTATGACCCAAAATTGGACAAAAATTTCAGCGGCAACATCAACTTGGATCAACACTTAAACAATTACATTAACGGGTATGCAACATCATACACGGCCACCGCCACCTTCCCCTGCTGCCAGCTTCAACAGATGCATTCAACAATTTTCATTTTCTTTCCATTTCGTTACGTTAATAATACAATTATTTCTTTGTTTACAGACATTTTGTGGGCTGTGGCTTTTGATCTGCCGTACCTCGACATGCTTTTGTTGTCGCTTCTGTTCTGATCAATAATATAAAAATATACAGTTTTGTTATGTACACTTAGATGTTTCAAAAAGGAGAAAAAAACTCGTACATTCGGCTATATACTTACACACACATATATACATACGTATATATATATATATATATATATATATATATGTGTGTGGCTGGTAAGTAAATGTACGTACCTACATGCATGTATATTTAGTTTAGTCTGTAGAAGTATTTAATAAATTAGTAGAAAATACTTTTGTTTTTACTTGATACATAGTACATACACAATATACATATATAAAAATACAAGAGGGTCCATAGGTTACAGCGTTTCGTCTGCTTCTTGATTTTTGTTTCTTTTTTGTATTACATATTTTTTTAATATATTTATTTTTTTGTTGCTGTTCTAAGTAGCTTAGCTTAGAGAAAAGTACACAAAATCGAAAGACTTTTATTCAGTTTCAATTTGGTTTGGTTTCGTAATGCATTAAGAGTTGATTGCACAAAAAAACGCTACATAAAATAGTTGTTGTTGTGTGTGTGTGTGTGTGTGTGTGTTTAAGCGCTTGGCGGTCTCATATGTGTTTATGTAGAGTTGTGCGTGTGTGTGTGTGTGTATGTGTGGCAACTTGTGCAAGCAGTAGGCAAGCAGTTTTTATATTTTCAAATTTTCATAGCATACTTTTGTGCTGCTGCGTTAGAATATAACATATATTTATGACATTTATATATTTTTTGAATTTTGTATTTGTTTTTTGTACTTGTACGTAATATAATATGCATATGTATGTTTGCTGCTGAGGTTGCCCGTCTAACAATTTGCTATACACCAAACAACAACATCAACATTAATAACAGCAACAACAACAACACATAGAATACATTCAACATCAATTTTGTTGTTTCCTGCTCTCGGAAAAAAAAATTATGGTAAAGTTTATCTTTTTATAAAATTTATTAGCTAGTCTGCTTTATCGGTTAGTTTTATGCAATGCGTTTGTATACTTAGTTTAAATTACTGCAATAAAATTAAAATTAAATTAAGAAAAAAATTAAAAAAATCACACACACACACATACGCGGAAACACACGCATAAGCATATATGTATGCATATGTTGTATACCTTAAGACTAGGGAAACACATTAAATACATCTAAAGCCACAAATTTTCATTAGTTAAGTGCGTGTGTGTGTAATTTACTTAAATCTTGGCATTACATTTATACATTTATAAATTAGGCTACAATTAAAATACATACTTAGGATACAGAAAAAAAATAAAAAAAAAAATTAACTACACCACTTAAATATACACACATGCATACATACATATATAACATGTATGTAAATCTCGTTCTGCTGGTAGTTTACATTCATATAAGTGGCGAATACAAACAAAACGTACACATTGCCCGATTCATGTGCGTGCTTTTGGCATATGCACTACGAGCAAGTTTTAGCTTCACATCTATATGCTATAGTATATATGTATATATTGTATATAGCATATGTGGCATAGTGTAATCAACATAACTTCAACACGCCTGATTCACATTCTTCTTCGGCCATAACACATAACAATATCGACACAACATTCCATGCTCAAGTGCCAACTAATTATCGTACATATTCAACATTAGTTACATATCACAAATTAATGCGGTTTATTTCCGCTCCCCCCACGCCCCGCCCCCCAAATCCGACCATATACACATATATGTATATCATTTGCTACATTCCAAGACATTCCTTTCGCTGTGACTGCGGCATCGGCAACTGCAACTGCAACTGCTGTATTGGCCAACATACATTTTGTTGAGTCAATAAATGCAATTTTGAAACCATTTCTCAAGTGTTGCAAGCCGGAAACTGAGTTGTGTTCATTTAAGTTGTGTGCATTTGATTTGATTTGAGTTTGGTTTGATTTGATTTGATTTGAGTTGAGTTTCTCTCTATGTTTCGGTTGTGTTAGCTGGATTAAAGTGACTGCCGCCATTTGCGTGTGTTGCATGCAGTGATTCGTGTGACTTGAACAGCGTAGTTGTTTCGCTCGAGTGCAGGTCGCCGTCATCATCATCATCATCATCATCATCATCATCATCATCATCATCATCATCATAATCATCATCATCATCATCATCATCATCACCATCATCATCATCATCACCATCATCATCATCATCAGCGTGATCATCACCATCGTCATCGTCATCGTCATCGTCATCGTCATCGTCATCGTCATCGTCATCGTCATCGTCATCGTCATCGTAATCGTCATCGTCATCGTCATCGTCATCGTCATCGTCATCTTCATTATTCTCATTATTATCCTGCTCTTTAGCCTGTGCCTCATTCACTTTAGGCTGAGCATCATTTGACTGCAGCTGTTGCTCTTCCCTTGCCTCATCTGCCAGCTCATCTGGATTACATTCGTTTAGCTGCAGCTGCGGCTGCGGCTGCTGTGCGCTTGCCGGCTGCTCCTCTAGCTGTGGCCTGCGTCTGGTAAAGAGAAACACCTCCATGTGATCCTTGCCCTTGACATAGACACTGCCACGCGGCTCAAACTCATAGCAGGCGGTCAAAAATGGTAGGCAATCCTTGCCCACCTGTATGCGATTGGGCAGACCCGTGGAGTCCATGCGCGAGGCCACATTGACAGCATCGCCCCAAATATCATAGTATAGCTTACTGGTGCCAATTACGCCAGCTGTGACATCGCCAATGTTCATGCCAATGCGCAGAATCAGATTAAACTCGAGCAGATCCTTGTTGAACTCATTGACCACCCGCTGCATCTCGATGGCAAACTCCATTAAGGTGTGTATGTGCTCATCGCCAGTGCCTCGATGGGACGGATCCAAGCCGCTGGCGGCCATGAATGTGGACCCAATTGTCTTGATTTTCTCGACGGCACGAAACTTCGGATGCGAGAGCAGCTCATCAAAGTCACCAATTAGCTCGTTGAGTACGCGCAGGAACTCCTTGCCGCCAAGATAGCTCTCGTCGTACATCTCATTGAAGTTGACAATGGAGGCAAAGATTATGGCAATGTTGTGATGATTCTCCGAGTATTTGGCCGTGTTCTTCAGATGTTCGGCCACATGCTTTGGAATGATGTTGTGCAGCAGCATGTCCGCCTGGTTCTTCATGTTCTGGACGCGCACCTTGTCCTGGTTGGCCACCGCGTTTCCATAGAAGGTCAAGCGATAGCCAATCTCGAACTCGCGATTGAGAAACCAGACCAGCACCAGTATCAATAGCAGGTCCAAATAGATCTCTACATGATAGTCGTGAAACCATTTGATCTCCTCGTAGATAAATGTGGCCGCCGCACTGCTGTTCAGCTCCGACTCCAGCTCTGGATCCGTTTCGCTTTCGGAGCGCCTAGAGTAGACGGTCAGCTGGGAGACGGCGATCCCAATGAAGCAAAGCGCAGCTAGAAATGCCAAGATATTGCGCATCCAGCAGTTCAGCTGCGTAAAGTTGCAGAAGTGCACGATGCACACAAAGATTAGGAATCCATAATGGTATTCGAACGCCTCCAGTTGTGTGAGGTCGAGCAGCAGGAAGTTGGCTATGATCAGGACGACGGGCATGGCCATTAGCACCGCCAAGCAGATGTGCCAAGGATACCAGCTGGATATGGCTTCAAAGATGCGATCCGCACACGATTCAAACTGTTCCGACTGCGGCAGCGGCAGAGGCAGCGACTGCGACTGCGACTGGGACCGAGACTGTGGAACTGCGGCTTCGCTGTTGACCGCCTCACTGGCGCTAGATTTGGAGCGCAGACGGGTGCCATGGCGACGGCACATTTGGCGCGTGAAGAGGAAGAGTGCAAACACCTGGATGGCCGTGAAGCAGGAGAAGAGGGTCACCCAGAGCCGGAAGCTGGGCGTTACCGTGTTCTGGGTCATCAGAAAGAGCGATATGGAGATGCACAGATAGACGGCAATGCCCACAAAGATGTCGATATATGTATTGTAGCGGGGCGTGGCCAGTGTGGGCGGCCCCTCCGTTTCGTGCTCGGTGCCAAAGCGATGTGCCTTGGAGCGAAAGTCGCGTTCCAACTGGCGCGACTTAAAGTACAAGCTGAAGCGACGCAGCGGCGGCTTCACCAGATAGCTGCGCTGGGAGCGCGCATTGTCCCGCACACAGCGGATGAGCTGCAGATCGGATTGCTTGCGGAGCTGCTGCAGGCAAGCGGCCAGCGGATCAGCCAGCTGTGCAGACTGCTGTGGCACCAGCACCGGCGGCGGCGGTGGCAATGGAAAGGGCAGCGCCCCAGCCTCGCCCAGATTCGAGATGCTTGACGTGGAGCTGGTGAAATAGCCGGAGACGCGATGCTGACTAATGGCCGACTGGTTAAGCGCATAGATCTGCTGCTGAATGGAGCTGCGCCTTGAGTTACTCTTAATGCCCGAATCCTTGCGAGATGTGGCCGACGGGCAGATACTTAGGCCATCCGGCCAAATGCTGGAGTTGCGCGAATGCGAATGGTGCGCTCCAGCGCCAGGTCCAGGCGCTGGCAAGCAGCAGCCACTGGAACTGGGATTCGGATTGAGATTAAGATTGGGATTGGTATTGGTATTGGTATTGGGATTGGCATTTGCAATGGCATGGGCATTGGCAAGGGCATTGGCACTGGTGCTGGGCTCAGTGGCCAATGGCCGTCCTACTGTCAGGGTGGATGCGCGTGGGCGCGGCAATGGCGACTGCTCCAATGTTTGTCCAACGGATTGGCCAGTTGACTGACGGCCGCACTGGGAACGATAGCTGCCGGTGCGGCCAAATGGCGAGATGTCGCTGCGCGATTGGCTTATGTAGGAGCGCACATCGATGATGTCATCGTACATGGAATACTGACCCGGCGAACAGCAGCTGCCACCGCCGGCGGCTGCCGCAGTGCTATCCGGTGAGCGCATCACGCTGCTGGAGAGCGTCGTCGATGTAGCCGCATGATGGAGCACTGGCCGGGCCATGGGTATGTCCAGCATTTGGGTACTGCCCAGGCGTGTACTGCAGGCCGTCTCCACTAGCACCGGCAGCTGCTGATAGCCGCAGCCATTGCCCAATTGGCTCTGGACGGGCCCGGCAGCTGGCTCGATGAAGGCCACCGACTCATCGCCAGGCGCTGGCAGGGAATTCGGATTGGCCCGTGCTGCCTCTTTGTCTGTGCCATTGGCTTTCTCCTTGTCCCTGTCCTTGCGACCTGTCAGCTTCAGGAACCTGGTCACTTTCAATACCTTGAGCTTTAGCTTGGAGCGGGTGTCTGCATTGTTCACCGGCGGCTGTTGTTGCTGCTCCAGAGATGGCGGCTGCTCATCCGAGTCCAGGCTGCCTGGCAGCGACTTGGTCGTAATGATAATCTTGGGCCGCTCGCGCACCACAATCACTGGCGGCACGCCAGTGGCCGCTGGATGTATGATGCCGCGCTCCAAATCCCTGTCACGGCTGTGCGAATGGCTTTGCGTATGTGATTTCTTGCGCAGTTTCATGCTAAGAGATGTTAGCCGTGGCCGCATCGAAAGCACTGGCGATGATTTCAGAGAGTTTGACAGCTGACCCACTGGCGAGGCAGGTGGCACATGCGGATGCACCACTGATATATTTGTGGCACTCTGCGACAGCGATGCAAACGGGCCATGCGCCCCAGGCAGCAGCAAGGAGCTGCCGCCGGCGGCTGTAGCTGCCATGCTCGGACTCAAGCTGTTGGCACGGGAAACATCCCGACGACGGCCCACCACGAAGTAGGTGCGATGACCTACAATAAACAGAAACATAAGCATTGGATTGAACAGGATTTGGTGTCCGCACTTACCGAACACCTCTTCGCCCTCCTCTAGGTAGTAGGCGTCGCCCAAGAAGCTAGACGTTTCCTGCGAGATGTGCACCTGTTCTGGCTTGCCCGAGGATTCCATTCTGACAGAGGTTAAACAGAGAATGAAATATTTAACATATTTGTGACGAAATTGAGCTGATAAGACGGAGCTTTGCAAGATTCCAACTGCAACTGTGGAAAATTAGTGGAAGTGGGTTGTTGGCAAGTTTCCAAAAATCTTTGTAAAAGTAAATTTGAGATTTGTTTTACAGACTACGGAAAATCCACTCCCCTTTGAGGAAAGTAGGATACGAAGGTTTCATGGGCGAAAGTTTAATTTACGTCCGATCCGTGTTATAGAAGAATTAGCTTAAGATTAAACTCTTTTTGAAATATCCACACGAAGCTCTTAAAATGTGATTCATCGAGGCAGAAATCGAAATAGGCCGAAGATGGATGCAAAACTGACGCATCAAATTTGGCCTGGGAAAGCCAGGTAGTATACGATAATTGTATTTTGTATTTTGTGTATATTCTATGCACGCTGTGGGATATTATATTATATTATATATTATATATTATATATTATATATTATATATTATATATTATATATTATATATTATATATTATATATTATATATTATATATTATATATTATATATTATATATTATATATTATATATTATATATTATATATTATATATTATATATTATATATTATATATTATATATTATATATTATATATTATATATTATATATTATATATTATATATTATATATTATATATTATATATTATATATTATATATTATATATTATATATTATATATTATATATTATATATTATATATTATATATTATATATTATATATTATATATTATATATTATATATTATATATTATATATTATATATTATATATTATATATTATATAGTATATATTATATATTATATATTATATATTATATATTATATATTATATATTATATATTATATATTATATATTATATATTATATATTATATATTATATATTATATATTATATATTATATATTATATATTATATATTTTATATTATATATTATATATTATATATTATATATTATATATTATATATTATATATTATATATTATAGATTATATATTATAGATTATACATTATATATACATACTACATATTATTATGTTACATTACATATTATATATTATATATTGTATATTATGCATTATATATTTTATTATCAGTCCGATCTACTAAACTTGATTGGGACTGTATTATTACTTACTTGTTGGCCAGGCTGACGTCGTTGCTCCACACATCGAACTTAACGCGTCGTGTGCCAACAATGCCGCAGAGCACGGTGCCAGTGTGGACGCCGACGCGCATCTTGACACCTTCGTGGCGCTGGGCATCGAAGCAGCGCATGGCGTCGATCATGCCGAGACCCATCTCGACACAGCAGATGGCGTGATCGGCGCGGGGCTCGGGGCAGCCGGAGACGCAGTAGTAGCAGTCGCCCAGTGTGGAAATTTTCTCGCAGCCGCTGAGCATGCAGAGGTCGTCGAAACGCTCAAAGAGATCGTTAAGGATCTCGACGAGCTGCTCGGCCGTTTTGGTGGAGGACATGCGCGTGAAGCCAACAATATCGGCAAACAGGATGCTAACATTTTCCATGCTGTGCATGTGGAATGGCCGGAACAAGGACTTGACATCGTGCGAGGCGCGTGGACGCATATAATGCGATTCCGGGGGCTGACTGGGGTCGATGCCCCCGCTGCCGCCCTCGTTGAGCAGCATGTCAGCCACCTTGGGTGGCATCACTGAGTGTATCATCTTCTCCTTGAGCTGTTTCTCCATTTCCAGCTGGCGGCGCACCAGCAAATTCTGGCCGACCTTCATGAAGGTGCCGCGCATGCGCACCAGATTCATGACCAGCACATGCACGCCCACTAGATGCACACTCAGATGCGCCATGATGCGGAGCATGAGTATCTTGTGGCTGGGATCGCTGCCACTTGAGCCGCCGCCCTCCACTGCTGCTGTTCCTTCGCCGGCTGCTGCATCCGTTGGTGTTGCACCACCAGCCGCAGCATGCACGGCACTAACATCAATGACCATGTGGGAGACCAGCTCGAAGGCTATGGAATAGCAGATGGCAATGCTTGCGCCCAGCCAGAGCGGCATGGGCAGCGCCGTGTAGATTAGCAGCACGATCTCTAGACAAATGGCAAAGTGTCCCAGCGGACTGAACGCCCTGCCCGTGTAGGTGAGAAACGCGAGCGAGGCGCTGCACAGAATGAGCGCTGTCAGTGCCGAAGTTAGGGTCCGGTGCTCCTTGTACAGGTTCCAGTGTGTGAAGCACATGGCCATTATCGTGACCAGCGACATCATCGAGAACGATGTTGAGATGGGTCGCCAAAAATCCTCCGAGCCGCCATCGATAACAAAATACAAACACCAGGCGACCGAGCAAAGTAATATGTACGACAATGTAAATCTGCAAGAGAAACGGAAGAAGGTGACAGGAGACACACATTAGAATCAATAGGAAAAAACCCAACGATACAGAACATTTAATCCTCCAAAAATAACACAGATGCTTTAGTGGTTACCATGGCTGCAATTCCAAAAAAATTGTTCAGTGGTTCGATTTACAAAACTATTTTCAAATATAAACCAAAGGTTTTTTTTAAGCCCGCCAATTTTTATCTTTAGCCAATTCATCCAGTTTAAGATTCGATTTATAGTAGATAACAAATTTGAGTTCCGGATTTAAACTGCGTTCGTTCTAAAGTTCGGGTTTAAGACAATTCCACCCGCAAGAGTGGAAAAGCCGCGGAAATGAGGATATATTTTTACTAACCATCCGAACAGGCTCTAAAGCATTTGAAAAGTTCTTTGTTTAAATTTACTTAACATTACTTTTTTCGACTTCTTGCTGTACACCGCGACACTAAAATTGGCAGAACTTTTTGATTCCAACTTTTAGTTCTAAATTCAGCCGACTTCATTTTCAAATACCTTTCATTGTCATTCATAGAGAACATTTTGTTAGAGAATTTTTAGGACTAAAAACTAAGTTTGAAAATGGGGATATTGAGTTGAGTTTCTGAATAAAACTGTTCAATGAGCACACAGTTTGCAGAAACTTAAGTTAAATAAAAAACTATTCGACTAATTATGTCAATAAATTAAATTTGACCCATTCCAGAAGTCAGTAATAAGCAAGCAACTTCTTTGGAGACTCATCAGTTAGTAAAGAGATTTTATGGAAACCTTATTTTAATTTAAGGTAAAGGTTGAGTATTTAGAAATGTTCGCATTTAATTATGCAACGCTTCAGTCGAAACTTTTGAACGAAACTAAACGTCTTCAATTAGTTAAGGATATAAGTGGAAAGGTGTCCTAAATGTTTACGGTTACGGAAAGGCTTGTAGCAATTTGTACTTTCATAGTTCCTAACTCGTGACTTTTAGAGAAGCCTCGAGATTTATCATTAGGAATAACTAGACTATGGAGCATGCGGGCTGAGAATGAACGGAGACTTTACTGGCTCCTTTAACAATTTGGAGTAATTGTCTTCAAACACTGAAGTACTGCTCCTCACAACTTGCCCGATGCCTTTCATGGGGGATGGGAATAGGGCATTTCTACTGATTGGTGAGGCGCCACACATCGCATTAGGAAGGTGGGGCATCAGATAAGGCTGGATAAGTTGCCAGTTGCTAGTTCTTTCTTTGGGATGCGCCGACCATAGGGTTAACTTAATGAATTGTGACACTTCAGAATAGATGACAAGGTTGTCACCTGATTGGGGTAGACTTAATGGTCACAAACTATAATACAATGTTAGCTAAACTTCAAGTCAACGGCAAAATGCCGAGAGCTTCAAATATTGTGATAAACAATAAGCCTCGCTCATCAATTGACTAGTCTTTGACTTTGTTTTTGGCCCAACAAGCTTAACCAGTGGATAGCTTTTAAGGGGTAAAATTGCCATAGGATTTTCGCTTTGGAATTATTCTCTGTTGCATTCAAGAAATTTGCACACTAGTGGATTCTGTTTAATACAGTTTACCCTTCAACAGCAATCCAGCTCAAATTGTCGACCTAAATAGCTAGCTAGAAACACAGTTACAAAAAAAAGGACTTTTTGTGTGCAGTTGGCAATCTAGACTCGGAAAACGTTGGACTAAGTTAGGCTCTCCTTGTTCAAAGCCTTAATAAGTGTACATAAAATTAATGGAACGTTTCTTTTCGAGGATCTCGGCTAGCGGTTTATCTGAGTAGTCTTGTAAATTCATCAATAACACATGGAAAGTTTTAATATTTAAATAAGAACCAAGAAGTAAGAGCAGATATTTTCATCACGAAGAGCCGAAGAGTGAATACACTAGTAGACATTTTGCTCCTATATGAAGATTTTATACCCTTGCAGACCCAACCTTTTCATAATGCTCATAGTGCTTTGCCCATATCTAAGAAGCACAGGGAAAATAGTTAATGCCGAGTATGGTTAAGATATGTTGATAAGATTTTGCTCATATATGAGGTGCATAGTATAACTAATAAACACCGAGTTTGGTCAATATATCTTGATAAACAAAAATGTTTTTCATATAAGAACCTACTTTTTGACGGATCGTTCCTATGTCAGCTATATGATATAGTGGTCCGATCCAGCTGTTTCTGACGCATGTACTGCGTGCAACAGAAAGAGGCATTTCTGCAAAGTTTCATAAAGATAGCTTTAAGACTGAGAGACTAGTTCGCCTATAAACAGACAGACGGACAGCCGGACAGAGGGACATGGCTTATCGACTCGGCTGTTAATACTGATCATGAATATATATACTTTATGGGGTCGGAGATGTCTCCTTCTATGCGTTACACATATCACAACAAAATTATAATAGCCTCTGCAAGGGTATATAAAGGGATTTTTTTAGTCAATTTTCATCGATTCTTCCTTTATAAGTATTCCGTGTTAATGAGACCTTGCTCGTATTTTAGGAATTTGGCTAGACTTGGTCAAGATATTTTGAGAGCCAGAGAAGTTTTCTTAACAAAAAGATAAAATTTAACAAATCGTTTCTATGGCAGTTTTATTATTAAGATTGAGGGACAGACGGACACGTTTATTATGACTCGCTTTAAATACTTTTCTGCTTTTTGTCTAAGTTCAAAACTTTTGTCTGTAGTTGCTCTGTACTCTGAAATAGATCTCTGATCTAGTAGACTTCCTAATACGAATTAACCAAAATCCAAAAATCACTTTATGCGAGGTATTTCTCCAAAATATAGCGAATTGAATGTAGGTAGCTCTCTCAAGTACTTTAATCGCTCCTGGACTATGAAAATAAGAAAGAATACTGAATAATAACAAATAGGGTTAACTTTTGTAATTAACGCATTGCCAACAATATGCTGATATTGATATTTGGGTTCTATCCGCCTTGTGTCACGCCCAACCAGTGGCTCCATGGGTAATCGGTGGGGGGAATTCTAGCTTTAGCTGCTTCTGGCCTTTTTTGAACAACAATAAGTGTCTCTTCCTGATTCTGGCACTCGATGCGACGCAGTTGCTGCTCTCTGCTGAGCCAGCCCAAAGAGGTTGCCGGAGCAAGGCAATTGCGGCGGGATCCTCCAAAGATGAGCGCCAGCATTACGGTGAGGGCAACAAGGGCAACGCGACGCTGTCGCCGCTGGCTTAGGCAGCGCCAGAGATGACGGCGCAGGCTGGCGACGAAGCGCAGATGGTTGAGCAGGCGGAAGAGCAAAAAGAGCCATAGGTTCTCAAGGAGCAGGCGATCCAGCTTACTGGCACCCTCGTTGCTGATGCGCAGTATCACAATGGCCGTAAATGTGGTCAAGAGGATCAGAGACATGGCCAGCGATAAACAGAGAATTTTTATCAAGTAACACTAGTAGCTGGTACGAAAGGGAAAGTTCTGAATAATAAATGTGGAAGAGCTTGAACCGAGCGAGCGCCTGCTACAATCGATTCGATTCGCCTGCTCTGCTAATTGTTGTGCCCCACACATCCCAACCCTCTACCCCCTCAAATGGCATTGACCTGCAATGCAGGCCAAGCCCCCAACCCAACCCAACCCAAACACAAACCAGCAAGCCAGTCAGCCAGCCAGTCAGCCAGCCAGCCAGCTTCAGGCCAAGGCACGCCAAGCGGCCATTTATGGCAGCAATTTTGCTATCCTGCGCAGTTCTCAACTAATTTGCCGCCGCTTACCCCGTCAGGCGGGAGCCAGGTCCGCACCAGGTTAGCGCCAGGGCCCGTTGGCTCCATTGGCTGCCCTTTTTGGCGTCGCGTTGATTGCATTCACGTGCGAGAATTCAACTTATTCATGGTGCAACTAGCGGGGCATACTACATTGGGGCATTTATAATTTGTTTGTCGAATTACATTTGCTTCGTACCTACTTGCAGAGTGCGTTCGCAGAATTGTTTCTAATTCTAATTATATTTATATTTTAAATAACAAATATTTACTATACAGAAAGGGCAGGGCGCACACTAAATTATACCAGGGCTGCAAACCCACAAAATGTCACGGCTCGAACGAACTAACTGCCTTTAGGCTCGGTTCGTGAGCCCGGTTTAACACATCTTTGAACCCAGGGTTTGGTTTAAGCCGTTTTTTATTGTATATTTCGAAACAATGACATTAAATTCTAATTCGCGGTCCTTCTGAGAGTATCGCAAGCCGTATATACTTATTTTCATACGGAAGTTGCTGAGTAACATTTATTTTTGCTCAAAAATGGGGATATACTCAAGTTATTTATGCTTTGAGGGTGAGTTCTTGAAAAGTTTGTTTTCTAAACAAAATGGTTTTCATTTCGGGTTTTGGTTCTGCTGATTTTAGGGCAGTTGGTTTAATTTGGTTCGGTTTGAAACCGTTTTGCAGCCTTACAGTATTGCAGTAGTTTGGTCTCGATTTGATAATCTCTCAGTAGTGTGAACCACTTAATTAAAAGCATTAATCAAGGAATTTGTTCTATATTTAAAGCATTGTCTAATGCGAAAATTAAAAAAATGCAACTTTTATTGTGCAAATGGAGAAATAAAACTGGTAGTTCGTCGATTTAGCGCCATGCTGGTTTAAGCGAGTAAAAGCTCTATAGTCAAGAGTACCTGACTAGGAGATACCCTGACCCAGCTGTGAGCTATCGTAACCCACATTGATCCTTCTACACATGCACATGCATGGAGAATACATGAAAGTACACATACATACACGTAAGCACGCACACGTGCTTGTTCCTCCCTTAGCCCCATACTATGGGTAATGCATTCTGGCAAAGCTTTGCTGTTTATAGTTCGATCCCTTTTGGGGTTAAATATGGTACACGAAGTTATCTATATCTCAATACCCAATATACCCTGTTCTTTTCCCCTATTGACATATATGTGTTTGTTTGTATGTTTGAAACAAACTTGGGCAGCTTGGAGCTCTCATAGAGTATCTCCGAGTCGAGCATTAGACAATTCTTTCTTGTTTGCAACACTAACAGCTATAAACATCACTGAAAACTGCTTTAAAAGCTTTCAGTGTGATGAATTATTTTTTACTGTTATTACAGAAATCAAAGTAAATTGAATTACATTAAATTAGAAAACCACTCAAATGTCTACTTTACAGTTTTTATTATTATTTGAAACGATTTCAGTTACTCATTGATGCACTCATGATTTATTGTGGCATGCACCTGAATCGCACTCACCTGTATCGCATGCGTATGTGCGGAAAGACGCTGGCCTGGAACTGCTCCTCGAGAACGGGTGAATCGAATTTGGGATCCAGCCAGGATTTGGCGGCGGCTCGCTCGAAGGCCACCGGCAGCATGACGCTGCAGCAGGAGTGCCGGCGTCCGGTTTGACTTAGATAGGTTTGGATGTGGGGCGCCAGAGCGATTTGTATGTCATCGGTGGAATTGGCCCGGCTATCGTTGACTAGAACGCCCGGCGGCATTGCTGTAAAGCTGACCGACTGCCGACGCGACTGTCGAAGCCGAGAAAAATAAAAGAGAAAAGAAACAGAAGCAGACAGCGAATGAATATATATTAATTAGCAAAATGGCCATAATATCAGCCAGATATGCATACATATGTGCATGTTTGTGTACTCTAACCGAACATATGTGTCTATGTGTGAGTCTATTTGTGTGTGTGTGTGTGTGTACAAAGGCGCCGCTAAGTATGCAGTACCATACGAGGATGCAAACAGCCGCCGAGAGGACAAGGACGCGTCTTCGAGGACGCGCCTTGACATTTGCCATTTGTTGTCAACTAGGTCAGTGTTCAGTCTGTTTAACCAACTGTCTCACTGTCTGTTTGTCTCTCTGTCTATTTGCGCCTCTGTCTGTTTGTCTCTCCTTGTCTGTTTGTCCCTTTGTCCGTTTGTCAATTTGTTCTGCGTCTTGAAGCGCCGACAGAGCAACAAGTGTTCTCACATTGCGCATACGCCATGCAATGACAATCAATTTACTAAGGCGAGTAACGTCAAACAACAAAATGCAACTAAGCGCTTGATTGTCCCAAAATTGAGAAAGAAAACGAAGTCGCCAACTTTGCGCTCTCGCATCTTAAAGAGCGCAATCAGTGTGTGTGTGTATATACATACATACATACCACACATTAAAGCATATTTGTGCTGCTATTCACTGCAGTGGCTTTTGCTGCCAAATAAACTAACTTTGTTGGTTATCTTGCGCCTACCATGATCTATACCCAATTTGTATTCACATATGTTTGTACTTATGCATGCGTAATTCACACACACAAACATAGCTGCTTGTATGCCATTGGCTAAGACAAGAACATCTCTCCAGCATACACTGTGCAAAAATAAAAGTAAAATCAATTTACGTGGGCTATTTTATGAAGATAGGTTTTTGAAAAATCTATCCTTACAATTTAGCTATCATGTCTAAGGTAATTTATCTTTCATATAAAGCATGCATCATGAGTTAAGCAAAAGTACTAAGCGGCCATCGTAAGTATAAGCCTTTTTCGGTCAGTGTACTTTGAAAATGAAATGACGCAGAGCATCATAGAACATCTTTACTGAAGGCAGGCAGGCGACTTGGAGAGCGAAAAGCCACTCGGTTTGCGGGGCGTTTGAAGAGCGAAAAGCCATATTCTACATTTTGCGTGGCATTCAAATATATGGGCATTACTTATCTTATACATTGGAACCTGAACCTTCGTCTCCCCGAACAACAGCTTTTGCTGTACGCTCGCTTGCCCAAGCTTAACACTTTTACCATGACTCTAGCTCTTAAAACCTAAGAGATTTGCGGGATTGATATCGATTTTTATAGATTGCTTAAAAACGGGGCAAAGGTATCGATGATCGTACTCGCGGGCACTAGGAAAAACCTAGTTCATAATTTCAAGTCTACAGATCTATTAGGTTTTAAGATCGACGCGTTCGCACAAACTGACATGGCTGGCAGACTGACATGTCTAGATCGAAACGAATCGACTAGATTCTGATCAGGAATATATAGTCAAGTCTATTTAGTTACATATATATTTTTATGTACACTGCTTCCATTCTTAAAAACCCGGCCTGTAATGGTAGGCCGAAGATTAAAATCCCTCGTAGACATTTGGCTAACAGTTGTGCAGATATGCCAGGAGAATTGTGAAGCTCGTAGTGCTGAGTTTCGTAAAGATATCTTGGAAAACAGACAATTTGTTCACGCAAAAAAAAATGTTTTCGACCGATTTTTCCTACAGACGTGTATGATATAGTGGTGGGATGATATATGATAGTGGGATGATCCGGCCGGTTCCGGGATATGACTTGCCAGCATCGGAAAGACGGACCTATGTAAATATTCATTGGGATAGCTTTTAAGCTGAAAGGCTAGTTAGCATAACTACAGACATTCCACCGTGTGCAATAACTACCTCCATGAAGTAGCCCACGTAAATTGATTTTACTCTTATTTTTTGCACAGTGTATGCTGGAGAGAAGTTCTTTGTGCAAATTATGCATGCATGAGTACAAACATATGTGAACACAAATTGGGTACATCATAGATCATGGTTAGCGCAAGAAAGCTAACAAATAACAAACATACAAATATGCTTAGATGTGTGTGGATATACACACATGCGCAAATATAATTGCCAGCTGAGAGAACATTCATTTTTTAGCGTTTTTGCTGTTTAAGTTGATGCTGATCCAGAATATATACTTTTTGGGGATGGAGATGTCTTCTTCTATGCTTTCACATTTAATGACAAAAAAATAGACCAATTGTATCTAATCATATTTTTCACTTTCTCTAAGAGCTCTCTTTTTTCTCTTACTCTCTTTAGTTCTCTCCCTCAACCTAAAAACATTAAGTCGAACCCAAATTGATGCGAATGAATAACTATTATATTTATGAAATATTCAAACAGATTTAAGTCGAATGTGCCTCTTCTTAAATACCGAATAGATTGGATTGGTTGATATACATATGTTAGATCTTAGAAGTTTTGCGCTTGCTTGTGAAAGGTTTCGAGAACCTCAAACTTTAAGAAAGTCTTGAAATTGATCAAACTTATTTGAGTGAATCTTTCGAAGTCGTCGTTTATTTTGAAAAGCTTTATAAACAAATGCACAGATCAATTGGAAAAGGCAAGGAACTAGGATAAATTGAACTGCCAGAGCTTAAAGAACTCGCTATTGTTATTAATCGGAATCAGTATGTTGATAGCGAACGATTTTACAGCCTGGCACAGTTAAGTAAGTTAACGCATCTTGAAATTAGATCAAACTATTTTTGGATTTCTATCGTTACGGTCATCGCCCATCTTACATATCTTGGTCATTAAAGGGCTTGACGCAGCTGATGTAGATATTCAAGAAATAATAATATTCACTCCGAAGACTTAAATGTGGATTTTGCCAAAATAAAAGCTACCAAAATTTCAAAAATCTAGAAGTGCTTGAAATAATTTCAAAACATAGCTCTGACAATATATCGCAAAGTAATAAATGCGTAAGTCCGGTATTCGTTAATGAACCGTTAATGATCCTTAAATCAGTAAGAAACCCCAAACCCCCTTTAAAGTTGAGTTTTCCATCATTTTAAGGGTTTTCGTCTGAGCAACTGAGTATACATACATAAATATGAACCATACATTAGTTACTTCTTCTATTTCTTTTAGGCTGAATTATAAGCTATAAGTTTGTATAGCGAACACATATATATTTGGATATATTGGACTAATTTTATATAATCAATGCTTTGATTTTAATTAAAGTAAAGCGGCGTCGATCTCGAAAACTACGAAAGCTAGAGACTTTAAATTTGAAATAATCATTTTCGTATATCATATGTAGAATGAGTTTATCGGATAATACAGATTTTTAAACTTTGTCTTTTAAGCATAAGTCGAAAATGATTAGAAATGGTTACACCAAAGTTCTTATAGTATACATAGAGCCAGAATCGGACAATAAACACCGTTGCTATTCAAGAACAATGCACTGTTGCAAAGGGAAGAATAATCTTAATGGATGGAAATCAAGAAGACATGACTTTGTGACTTTGCGAAGCACAGGCACATCAACAACAACAACAATGAGTGAGAAGAGAGGGAGAAGAGTAGCTTAAGAGCATAAGCTGTAGCCCAAAACAAAGCGGAACAAGCTGCGACTACATTTGCCTTCGTCTGCTGTTTCATTGTCCTGATTGTTAGCTGTTGTTGTTTCCAGTAGAACATTTTCTGAAGCTGTTGGGCCGAACTTCGGGCAGACTTTAACATACACAACACCTGCTTCTGCTGTTGCCCAAAATGCAAAGATATATGTCACTTGAGCATACTATTTGTGCGCATATACACAGTACGGCAATAAACAATAAACCTTCAGCTAATGTCGCGAAAATTCCAAAAATTGCGAACAAAAAATAAAAAAGTTTACTTAAAAAATATATATATATATGTATACATATAAGAACTTTTGCTGATAACAGGCAAGTAAATAGAATTTAGTGGATAAAGTTTATTTACGACTTGAACAGTGCCTCTGTTCGGTTAATTTGTCAATTTTTATGTAGCAAAGAGGATATTTTAAAAGAATATAAAGAACACGTATTGGCCAAAAAGCTAGTGTCAGACATAAAATGGATTCACAGGAGTTCATTCAAAAATGGAGGCAGCTGTCCACTCGGCACTTACCCACCGGGCTGCAGAGACTCATAGACGTTTCGATTCGAGAATGGACAAAAATATAAGATTAAACGGATTGGAACCCACAAAGCCAGAAGAAGTAAGTAGAATGCCAAAAAGCTTTAATCGTTGAGCGTACGAGATGTTAGGAAGCCCCAGATAAAGAAATGTCCTAGCCTGAGTTTGACGGCAAGCAGGATGAGTACGTTGTTTGGCGGGCAGCAGCAACATTCCCGTATGACGTTTCTGTATCAAAGGAGGACAGTCCCAAGGATTGCCAAGCAGATGGTATTGTTCGTAACAAAGTAAAAGGTGCGGCATGTGTACAGTCCTTAGTTAAACGGCTCCTGTCCTCTATATATACCATACTAGCTGGTATAACCCGGCGGCCTTGCCCGTGGCACGTATGTTATAAAATCAATGTTCTCAAACAAATTTGAAATGATTTTGAAACTGATCGGACGGTAAACAAATAACTTTCATACAAACGTTTTCCGCCAATTTACCACTGTTGCGAGTAGAATTTCCCAAATCGCTGAAACACGTATTCATTACATTCTTATGTAGAGCTTTGAAAATAAGTTTGAAGCAAATCGGACACAAGTTAAAACTTCCCACAAAAAATCTTTGAGTCGCATTCCACCCGAAAAGTATGGATTCTGCGAAAAGTGTGAAACACGTCTCAAATGATTTTTCTTATAGATCTCTGGAAATGAATTTGAGCGCGAAACGTCACCCACCAAACCTTTGACCTCCATTTCCACCAAGGAGGAACGGATTTTTCGAAAAGTGTGAAACACCCCTCAAATGAATTTGAACAAAGATCTT